TGCCAAGCCAGAACAGAGAGTTCCGGTACAGTCCTCACTCAGTTTCCCCTGTCGTTACAGTCTTACATTACCAAGACTGTACATGTCACAAAAAACCAACATCGGCTCATTACCGTTGACAAAACTCTGAATCATATCCAGAGTTTGCTTTTCTACTAACTCTTTTCTCTGTTCCAAGATCCCATCCAGGAAACCATACTGCATTTCGTCGTCACATCTGTCAGTTTCTGTCTTCTGTTATTTTTCATGATCCCAATAGCTTTCAGGAGTACTGGCTAGTTATCTGTAGATTGTCTTTCCGTGTGGGATCGTCTGGTGTTTTTGTCTTGATTAGATGGGGTTTATGGGTTTTGGGGAACCACACAATACTACCACAGAGGTCAAGTGCCCGTCTCATCCCATCTCAGAGGTCCATGCTGTTAATATGACCTATGACTGATGTTAATCTTGATCACCTGGCCAAGGTAGTACTTACCATGTTTTCCCACTAAGTTCCTATTTTCCCTTTTCCATACCCTGTTCTTGGGAAGCAAGTTACCAAGTGCAGCCTACTCTTAAGTGGGGAGGGGATTAAGTTCCACCTACTGAAGCAGCGAGGGGTTACCTACATCAATTATTCAGAATTCTTCTGTAAGGAAGATTAGCCTCTTCTTTGACAGTTTCTTTATTCATTTATTTATATCAGTATCAACTCAGGGACATTTATTTTATACTTTGGGTAATAATCTAACATGTTTGATTTTTTTTGCTCAAATCCTTGCTCCTTTGGCTACCGTGAGCTTTCAGGCTGGCTCCTGGGTCCCTTGACATGTCCCCATCTTTTTGTTTTTTGAGCATTTCCTTTGCATATTTATTTTTAATAAAAAAAAATAACATTCAGGGAACTAAAGAAAACTAAACTTCTATTACAATCCCATCATCTCTCACCAGAAACAGTTATGTTGTTGTTGTTGTTGTTATGTGCCGTCGAGTTGGCCCCGACTCATAGCGACCCCTCCTTGGGTTTC